CATTAGAAGAAATACGCCAAGAAGATCAGAATACCACAACTGGCCAATTTACAGAAGGGCTTTTGTGAAGGTAACACACAAAGAACCTAAAAGTGTCATTCAACACTATCTTGCCTGTAGGTTTTGTAAAGCTGGTGACAGGGTAAAACGCCAATCAGTCTACATTATGGGAAACAAGTCATTAGTTTCTGGGATTTTCTTTTATAGAATACTGCAGCCAAAGTTGTGTATAGGCAGCCACATGGCTGGCCATCTGAAGCCTCACACTTTAGACACACAGCTTGGCTGTGTTCAGTTTAATATGAACCATGTGTTACAGTCAAAACAACATCTGACCCTCATACTTCAAATAGTATGTATGCTTCTCAAGGGGTCTATTCAGCCAGACAGCTGTTGGGAGGTTTATTCCCACATTTTAAATTTGTCTTTGGCGTGGACAAATTGCTCATGTTTTAATACTTCTCTGGACACTGTTTTTCATCCCTTTAACTCTTTCATTAAAATTGGTTCCTAGCTCAAGGCCCAGATTGTTTGTAAGATGAGGTCAACCCAACTACACTTGATTTTGGGCGGTTTGTGTGTGTGCTGTTTTAAAGAAGAAATTCAGGTAAATTAGTTGCAATGATTAAGTTAGCCAGGAGTAACTTAAAAATCTATTGGGTGTAATAATTTCTTTGTTGAAACCAGAATAAAGAACACCTTGTTTTGAGTCAATTTTTTTTTCTCGGCTTCTTCAAAATACACTGAGACTTGATTTGTTACACAGTGAAGATGCCAAATGAAAAAAGCAGCTGAGAGTGTTAATTCTGAATTTCCTACAAAGCATCAATTCAGTGAGAAAGGCAGGCAGTGGTTAGGAGCCGTGGTTTTGGGGTTAGACATGCTAGATGTTGAAACTCTTGTTACGCCACTAGCTAATATATACCATGCGCAAACGACGTGCTCATTTCCTTGTCCAGAAACAGAGAAGCCCTCCATTTAGGGATTAGATAAGATATTGTGTGATAAACATGAAATCTAAATCCTGCAAAACAGTATATATTCAATAAGGTATATATTGAGTATATGTTACCCAAAATATTTAGGAGAAGTGTTTGAGATTTTGCAGATTTTTGGATTGGGGGATATTTGCTTTACTGCTTGAACATTCTCTAACTAGAAAATATGAAATTCATAGTGTTCCCAAATTCCAAACTTTTTGAGCGCTATAAGATATTTACAAGGTGAGTATTTAGAGCATTTTGGATTTTGGAACATTATGAATTTTAGATTTTTGGAACAGGGATGCTAAACTGGTACTTTTTGTTTCAAGATTGAAATATAGCAGCACAATTCATTATCTGTCAAAACGTGGAGGCAGCCTATATGCCCACTAATAGACAAGTGAATAAAGAAAATGTGATATTTATTAGGAAATATAAGAATAGCAAAAGACCCATTCGTGGACTGGGGGAAGACAAAACAAGGCCACACAAGCAAGCCAGCCCAGTTTGGGAACCAGTGCCATGCATAGGTCTCCACTAGACTAGGAACAGCCAGACCCCATCCCCTTCCAGCACATGGGCTGACCAACAAGTTCCACCAATTCCTCCCCCCTCCCACAAACACGTAAGTGATAAGCTTATCCAGAGGAACACAGGCTGCAATGATAGCTTTCAAGGTGAAATGCAATTGGATGCCTGTGGTGCTTTGGTGTTACACTAACATTGCAGGTCTAGGGCCAGTGGTCTGACTATAGGTTCAAAGGATAGCAGTACACAGTATGGCATCTAGAGAGGTCTCCTTCTGAGGATTGTAGCCATTGCTGATTCCCTTTGGCCTTGTTTTGAAGATCTATCACATTTCCATTGTTTTGTTGGGTTGGGTTTTATTCTCCTTTGTTTTGTCGATTATGTTAAATCTGATGGTGGGAGCAGCTATTTCAAAGATAGCAAGATATATTATGGTAGCAATTTTGGATTTACTATTGGCTTGGTTTGAAATCCTTTATTGCAGTCATTGTTTTGTTTTTATTGTTTCTATTCTATTCTGTTCTGTTTTATTTTTACTATGTCTGAAGTTATTTCAGCTATTTTGAAGACATCAAAAGGCATTAGAGTAAATATTGTTGTTTTGTAATGTTGTGAAGTCCTGTATCTCTTACATTGATTTGTTTTGATTGGTTTTATTCTCTTAAAAAAAAAAGAATAGCAAAAGAAATTCTGAGCAACAAAGGTAAGGCAGGAAGAATCAATATCCCTGACTTGGAATTATACAACAAAGCTACTGTGATAATGTTAGCATGGTACTGGCAAAAAAAAAAAAAAAAAAAAAATGAGTGGAACAGATTAGAGGATACAGACACAACTACAAACACAATCAGCTACCTTATTTTTGACAAAGGGACCAAACATGTTCATTGAAAGAAAGACAGCCTCTTTAATAAGTAGTGCTGGAAAAACTGACTCTCTACATGCCAAAGACTAAAACAGAACTCACGCCTATCACCATGGCATGCACTAAATTAAAAGTCAAAATGGATCAAAGACCTAAATATTAAAATATAAACACTAAATCTACTGGAAGAGGAAGTTGGTAGAAATTTTGAAGACACGGGTATAGGCAGAGAGTTCATGAACAAAACCCAAACTACACAAGAAGTATTTCAAAGAATCAACATCCGGGATCCCATCTTATTAAAAAATTTTACACACAAAATAAATCACCAACAGAATGAAAAGACAACTCACAGAGTGGGAAAATATTTTAGCCAACTGTTCGTCATACAAAGGACTTCTATCCAGAACTTACAAAGAATTAAAAAAAAAATCAGACCCCTGAAATTTGAAGACCCAATCCAAAATTGAGCATCTGAGATGAAAATGAACTTCTCAGATGAAGAAAGACAAATAGCAAATAAATATATGAAATATGTTCAACATCATTGGTCATTTGAGAGATGCAGGTTAAAACAACGTGGAGATTTCATCTCACTCTAGAAAAAATGGCAACTATCAAGAAATCAACCAGTTACAAATGCTGGTGAGGCTTTGGGGAAAAAGGAACCCTTCTCCACTGTTGGTGAGAGTGTAGACTGGTACAACCACTGAGGAAATCAGTGTGGAGATTTCTCAAAAAACTAGGATTAGAGGTCCCATTTGACCCAGTTAGTCCCATTCTGAGTATGTTCCCAGAAGAATAAAAAACGTCATACCACAGCGATACATGTGTACCCATTTATAGCAGCACAATATGCAATAGCCAGATCTTGGAAACAACCTAAATACCTATCAACTGAAGAATGGATAAAAAGTTGTATTTTTATACAACAAGAGTACTACTCGGCCATAAAGAAGGATAAACTAGAGACATTTACAGGTAAATGGATGCAACTTGAGACCATACTCATAAGTGAAATAAGTCAGACTCACATGTATAAACATTATATTATCTCCCTGGTGTGAGAAATTGAAAGAATAAATAAGATCCTAAATGTACAGTACATACTGTGAAAGGGCAAGAAATTGTTCAAAAGGAAAAAAATAAACTAAGATGGGAGAAGGGTACAGGACAGAAGGGAAAAGGGAAAAAAAGAAAGTCAGTCTCTTAGTTCATTGAAAAAGAAGGTTTGTGCTAATACTGACTGGAGAGATTTTTATGCCTGTGTCTCATACTCTGAGTAACTACCTTAAAGACAACAACCTACAATGTATCACCCATTGTCACTCTCCTATTATTTTGTTATGAAGTTTTGTTTTATGTTTTTTATATGATAAAAGGTAAAATTGAGTGGAGTATGTGCTACTATAAAGAAGAATGAATTTGAGTCATTTATAGGAAAAGGGATGCACGCTGAAAACAATGCTAAGTGAAATAAACCAGAAGCACAGCTTAAACGCTGTATGGTCTCCCTCATGTGAGAAAATCAAAGTATGAAAAAAATCAAAATGAAAGCAAATGTGGTATTTATGCCCAATGCAGTGCTCCTCTGCCATAAATTTGACTCCTTGTAGAAAACTGATGCACCTTGAGAATAGAATGGTAAGTGAAATAAATCAGACACACAAGCTTAACTGTACCGTGGTTTCTCTTATGAGAAACGCAATCTGTACATAAAAGAGCAAATAAACCAAGCATTGGAGGGAGAAGGGAAAGACGGGAGAAGTAGGAAGGGAAATGCAAAGTCTTAAGACATGCAACTCACCACTATGACTGTGATCATTATGTACTGAAAATACGTACTAATAAGCAAGAAAGAGTATGAAAAAAATGGAAGTCTTTGGTCTTGTTCAGAGGGAACAGCATGTGCAAAGTCATACAGCGAGGAAAGGGATAGTGGCTGTTAAAGATGAACCAAAGTCCTCGTGACTGGAGAAAAGTGCAAAGGAAGAGAATATCGTGAGATGAGACAGGCTTAGTATCTTGTAGTTATGTTGTTTCCTGGCTCCTTGATTCCATCATCAAATGAGCCTGCCTGAAGATGGATGCACATTTGACAGATAGACAAAATAGCACACCGTGGAAAGAATGAACTAGAAGTTATATGATAGGGACCCATGGATACTTTTCTTTTTCTTTCTTTCTTTCTTTTTTTTTTTTTTTTTTTTTGGTACCGGGGATTGAACTCATCACCTTTAGTTTGCCAAGCAGGGACTTAAGCCACTGACCTAAACCGTTGGCCCCTTTTCTTTGTTCTTAATCTACTAATTGCTTTGGAATATTTAAGTCCAGTACAGGATTCACATTTATAGCTACATAAACTTCTGAAACATTATTAAAGAATTGAAAGGTTTGCTTCTTTATGCAAACCGTGAAACAGAAAATAAAACAAACTGAAATACTGAAATAAATAGATTTCAGCATATGTTTATGATGGACTTAGTTAAGACAGTTGTGAAAAGATGAGAAATTTTGGAGACTAAACATAGATAGTAAAGTCTTTCAGAATTTTACCTGGATTTGTGATGGTATTAATTTATGAATGCAAGCTGCTTCTGTTGTTCTAGTGGGTGGACACGTACCTTTTTCCTTTGGAAGTTCACATCAAGTTTCATTGAGGCACACTTATTCAATGTGTTTAGTCGTCTAAAGAGAAAGAAAAATGTCATGATTACCATCACTCATGAACCTAAACATTCTTCTAGTTTGATAATCCTCCTTTTTTCCAGTAAAAATGAAAGCACAGAAACAACCAACATCCCAGGACAGTGCTGCACCCCACGGGGTGCTAAACTATAAGGCAGTTTCCGTTGTGCTCTGGCCTTCTAATCTGAGGGGTCGCTGCCATCGAGCCTACCGAACCATGCCCCTTCTCCAGTCTGACACCAATCCGTTTCTGCCTTCTCCTTCTGCCATTGCTGGAACCCATGGGCAATCCTTTCAGCTGGACTTTCACTACCTGCTCACCTCATTTGCCCCCTTGACTTCCCTCAAACATGCATCAACTCAGCCCCCCGTCTTTTCTCCTGCACTCAGCCAGTGGGGTATACTGCACATGGAAAAAAGATGCTCGCACAGTGCTGAACTAAACATGCTAGTGACCGAATGGTGTTTCCTCATTCGTATGTTGAAGCCCAACTTTCCCAATATGACTATATCTGGAGAAAAGAGGTCAAAAGGGATTAAAGAAGAAAGTTGAAAGGGAGGAGTTTTGATCCAACAGGATTAGTGCTGCTGTAAGAAGAAACACAGCGTTTGTGCGTTGTGTTCTCCCTCCTTTCTCTCTCAGACACCAGAAGTCGCTGTCTGAAACCTGGGAAGAGAGTCTTACCTTCCAGCTTCCAGAACTGAGAGAAAATGAATTTCTGCCACAAAAGCCGCCCATTCTGTGCTGTTCTATCATGGTGGTCCACAATGACTAATCCATGCAGTTTGATTTTCACCCTTAGTTAGGCTCCCAAATCTCTGTGCCTCAGAATTCCTTTTACATGTCCCTCTTCTGTTTAGCTTTAAGTTTCAGGCCATCAAAACAGCTGAGAACTTAGTTACTGCTACTGTTGAGTAAACAGAAGCTAGTAGATAGAAATTCATCAGTAACTTTTCTTTCATCATACATCGTACTTAAATACTCACTTAGCCTGCCTCTACAGTCCTTCTCTTGCTCAATAGTAGCCCCTACTATTTGAGTGCACCTATCACTACACCTGGGACTTTGATACCTCATGCATTCCCTCGTGCCTTAGGAAACTGTCTCAACCACCTCCTTTCTTCAAGCCCATTTCTGTGTCAAACTGATTAACCAAATAGCTACCTATACCACTACTTTACATGATTTCTTTTTTTAAAATTACGATTACAAATCCATATGGTTTAGTTAAATATTATCTTTGTATCCTTTTCTACTTATCATTCTTTGAAAGCAATGCTTTTAAATTTCTTAATCTTTCATGTTAGGTAATTACTGAATTTCTTGATTGAAAGGATAATTTATTTTCTTATACTCTTCACCCTTTACCTCTCTATAAACTCTCGCTTTTGTCTCACACAAATAGTTACGTCATAATTTTGTAATGTTGAATAAGTCAATTTTTAGGGTTTACGGTGACTACGGAAGTGCTGTTCACATGTATATCACACTACGATTGATAAGTACATTATTATATTCATTGTGCTTATCCTTAAAAGCAAACACTTCCCCAGTTATCTAGTCTTCTGTCATATCAGATAGTCTACCAACTGAATTTATTTGGAGACTTTTTGTCTCATTCTACTTGGGATCAGCTGCCCTTGTTTTGTTTTTTGTCATGAGCTGATCACATTTCTCAGAACTGAGACTCCCCTTGTGTGTAGTTTGTATTGTTCTGGACCTGGGTAATAGAAGAGGCCTGGGAATGCTGGCATTTAGACCGCAGGCAACCTGTTATGTACTCTCCTTCTTTGGACAGTCTCTCTGCTTTCAACCACGTTTGATGGCCAACAGTCTAGGAAAACATCGCTTTAGCCTCTGAGGAATCAACTTTTGGTCTTCTGATGGCAACAGGGTAGAGAAATTGCCTAGGTCCTGGAGTAGAAATTGCTTAGATAATACAGGCTTCTGTCTACACTGGAAGATAACTTTAAACAATCCTCTTATTTTTACTCTACCTTTATCTCCTCCACCAATGTTAGATCACCTTAGTGCTTCTGCAGGGGAAACTGAGTTATGACTCTGCCCCCTTACCACTGGGCTTTTGTTTCTTGTGCTGACTGAGTGCTCTGCTTTATACTTCTTTCTTCCCCTATGAAATTTTATAGTTATGATCTCTGTAACACATCTGTTTTTGTGAAGAAATGCTTCTCTAGAAACATTTACAAGCATGCAAATCCAGGTATTCATATCTCATCTTTGATTAATGGTCTTTTGTTTTGTTTTGTTTTGTTTTTGTAGAGATCTTTCATTTTTAGTTCAGTGAGTCTTGGCTACCATAAATAGCCTCAAACCGACAGAGAATGTTGCCTCACACCAGAAAGTTCTCTCATGTTCTTTACTCTCAGTTTTCCCCATCATTATATTCTCTCCCACTACTCTCAGAGGATCCTGTTTTGAGCTGTCCACTATCCATAGATTAGTTTAGCCTACATTTGGTTGCCATGAAATGAAATCCCAAAATATGTATTCTTATGAGTATAATTTCTTTTTGTTCAATACAGTGTTTCTGAGATTGACCTATGTTGTTAAGTATAGCAATAAGCATTCCTCTTAATTGTGGAGTACTACTCCATTGTATGAAAATATACTATTGGATTACCTAGTGTCTTGCTGATGGACACTGGACTATTTGTAGCTTTGACCAATGACTTTCAAACTACCAAATATCCATAGCTTATTTTTAGCAACAACATATTCCAAGCGATTAATTTCCACCTATCATTTGTTGAAACTCTTTCATCTTTGGCATTGAAGATTATAAATTCTCTCATCTCTCTGAGCACTACCTCCTTCTTGTCCTATACTATGTCCATAAGACAGACACAGACACACAGATCTATCTATCTATCTATCTATCTATCTATCTATCTATCTATCTATCTATAGAGAGATGTAGATAGGAAAACGACAGAGACACAGAGAGAAAATTCAAACTGAAGTCTTGTTATTCTTGTTTCATATGGGCACATCAAAGTACGTCATCTCATTTGAAAATGACTCTACTCTGATGATGTGAAACACTCTGACTCTATCAGAACTAAGCTCCAGAGTTACATATCCCTGGCTCCTAGAGTTACATTCTAACTATTCACTCTTTTGATTCACTAGTGGGGGTCCTGTTGGCTCTCCTGGAAATTTCTAAAATTCCAAGCCAGGGCATATACTGCTAGACCTGTTGGCATGACCTGTAATGACCTTTCTTTACTTGGAAGTTATTAAAATTTTCATGTATATGGACTTCATATCATGCACTCAATTACAACCAAGTGAATTATGGGAAAGGACACACTCAATAGATACAACTGAGATGACTCAGCACCTGTCAATTATGTTGTCAAGCATGCTCTGAAAGACTCAATGACAGGTGCCATAAGCTTGGCGCATACATTTTAAGTGAAAACCATTTCTTCTATTTATTGTCTTGTCTTGAATGAGAATTGCCAATAGATCACCTACACTAGAAAACGGAGTCATACTGAGGCTTTCCTTCAAAAACTATAATCTTTGATCACTAAGTTTGGTCCAATATATTCTGAGACGTTTTTTGAAGTCCTGCCTTCTCGAAAGGTTCTAATTCAGTCCCTTCTCATCTGTCACCTACAGTCAGGCAATGACCTTTTGGTTGGTTTCATTACTATTTCATATTGAAACCAGTTCTATTTCTCAACTTCTTTCACGTTGGTCATTGATTTAAAAGTACAGGAAAAAAAAGAAAGAAAACAAAGATGAGAAAAAAGGGAAGAGGGGCTTTTAAAGGGAAGGGAATGAGAATAAAAAAGAATCAAGTTATATCATGTACAGATACAAATTCCTTATAATGAATGTGCTCATTATGTGTACCTAAAGTGTACCAGTAAATTTAGTCAATGAAAAAAGTTTATGATGGTTTTCTTTATTTTCAGCCATCATGCATTTGCTTATTGACTAGTTATTCAAAATACTGCCAAATGAAACAGGCATTCTTGGTCTATGCTGGTACAACTGACAGATTTTCTCAGCCTATTCCACCTGAGTTAATGTGTCTACCTAAGAGTGAGCATGGGAAATTAAAAAACAGAACACAACAAAATTAGTGTCACCCTCTTGGCAGCTTTGTGATAGTTTGTTTAGGGAAGAGTTGCCTGTTATTTATAAATATACTTAACTTACATACTTGTTCTTCCATTATGGTTTGGAAGCAGAAACAAATCATTCTATTCTATGAAAAAGTCTTCAATCTACTATGTATATAAAAAGGGCTCATCTTGTATACACCACACACCGAAATATGCTTTATATTTTCTAATAAACAGTGGAAATTTATTGATCATTTTTAAAGCTAAAGACTCTAACTAAATTTGTCTTCATATAGATTTGAGACTTTTAATCATCCTAACTTCAGAAATTTGTCTTCATTTTAAGAATTAAGAACTCTTAAAAGTCACTAAGAAGCCAAGAAAACTGATTTTAAAAATGAGTGAACAATGTGAATATATTCTTCTAGAATAAGATATACAAATGTCTACTATGTGCATATTCAGCATCATTAGCCATGGGAGAAATGCAGATTAAAATTATAATGAGGCACTACCACATGCACCCTAGAATGTTCATTAAAGACACTGACAACCTTCTAGTGAGATGCTAACTTCCAAAGGGATGAAGCATCTGTGAAAAAACTATTTGGCCATTTCCTACGAAATCAAAAATATTTTAAGCTTCTGACCCAGCAACCCTACCATTTATTCAACAAATAAATCCTAGCTATTTATTCAAGATAAAAGAAATCATATGTCCATAAAAAGATTTGCACTTGTTTATGAAATATTCTTCATAAAATTCAAAGATTAGAAATGGTCCCAATGTTCACCTAGTGGTAAATGGATATAAAACTTGTGGTATATGTCTACAATGGAATATTCGACAATTTAAGTCACTAACTGCGGATACATGCAACAACCTGGATGACTTGCAGAGC